CGGCACCTGCCCTGGCTCCCTCTGTTGGCCCCCCCTCCCCATTCTGCACCTCTACAGAGGAGCCTCAAATCGGATCCTGCTTCCCCATCCCCTACTCACCTTCCTCCCCACCAAACCGCAGGACTCACGCAGCAATGATTGCTTTCAGCTCTTTTTCTATTTTCATCAACATGTTAGACTCTGCATATTTAATTCCCTGTGTTGCAGATTCTCTTAGTTGTATGTAACTAAGTCTGTCTGTTTCTCCCTGACACTTTCAGGCTTACATCCTCCCAGATCTGCCAGTCTACTGGTTGGGTAACCCCGAGCCTATGACCCTGTCTCTCTAACACGCAGCTCTGTCCTGCACGTAGACGCCCTTGGACTCGCCCTTTCAGCTTCTCCCTGTGGCTCCCAGACTCAGGCCAGGTGTGGAAGCTGGAAGGCCCAGGATCATGCTTTCCCACTGCTCCAATGCAGGTCCTCGCAGGTGCAGAAGACGGTGCTCCTCCTGGGAGGGGCCCCAGCCGCATCCTTGGAGGCCACCTGAAAGCAGCATTGTGTCCATCTCCTCTTACCTGGGCCAATGCTGGGCCTTCATTTATTGGATAACTGGATGCACTTCTGAGGGGAGGGAAAGCGCTACCCAGACTATAAATCCCTGATGGAGTGTCTCTCTCAACAGCGAATGTCTCAGGAGCTCTCCTGTTTGTGGGGCCGAGGCTGCTCTTTCTTCCAGGAATTCCCAGAGTTATGTCTCATTATTTCAAAATTCTGCTTCAGAAGCCCTAACACACTGGTCCCCACAGGTGGAGCTTTCTTAAAATAAGGGTTCCTGGGCCCTTGCCTGAGACTGAGTCAGTAGATCTGGATTAAGGCCCAGGAATCTGTATATTTTAGAAGCCACATGCCTGGTTTTACGATCAGACAGATTTGAGAAGGACACAAATAATTCTCTCTGCGTAATTCTCTCTGTTTAACTTTGCCTTTCCAAAGGGCGTTGGCTCCCCTGCAGCGTAAATGCCCAGCCCTCCCCAGGTGCGCTGAACAGACGGGGTGTCTAAGTCCCTCCCCGACTTTTACCCAAGGAGAGGTCTATGATGCAGTGTTAATCCTAAGTAGGGGGAGATCTAGGTTATGTGGGTCCCGAAGCTTAGACAACTTGGAGAGGCCCTCCTGAGGGAAAGGACAAAGCAAGAACACAAAATTAACGGAGACTTGGAAGAGGCCCATGCAAGTGAAAAATCCGGAAAGCTTAAACTCCATCACCTGCCCAGCAGCTGTGCCTCTGAACGGCTTTCTCCTTCTGGAGCAAATCAGAAAACACTGTTGCTCAAATTGTCTATGCCTTTCATGTATATTAGATGAACTGAATTTGTGGAAATGAAAAGGGGGAAAAAAGACCGCAGATATAGATCATTTTGGCGTAGAAGAGTCTGGAGCTGAGTTTCTAACCACAACTCTGTGGCATAGGGCTGGGTGGTGAGTTCACATACAGTTGTTCCCTGTATTCCGAGAAACAGAGAAAGAGCGACGTGGTCCCTTTACCACCCCCCTCCCGTTACTTTCCACACCTGCTACTTCCCTCCTCGCGTCTCCTCCGCAGCCATGCTGGGCTTCCCCGCGCAGCCCAGGCCCGCTCTCGCCTTGCGGTCTCTGCTTCGGGGTTCCTCTTCCTGAAAGGGAGTCTCACATTACAGAGAAAGACACATGGGCTCAGAGAAGTTAAGTCCTTCAACCAAGTGACTAAAACCCATGAAAACATTGGTAATGTTTGTCTAGGAGTTTCATTCTTTTTTTTTTAATGAAAGATAGTTAATTTACAAAAGTACATCAGTTTCTGGTGTACAACTTCTTTGTGGTTCAATATTTTTATAGATTATACTCCATTCAAGGTATTACAAAATATTGACTATATTCTTTGTGTTGCACCATGTATCCTGGTAGCTTATTTATTTCATGCATAGTAGTTTGTACCTCCTAATCCCTACCTCCTCTTGCCCCTCTCCACTTCGCTGTCCCTAGTTTATCCTCTGTATCTGTGAGTCTGTTTCTGTTTGTTGTATTCACTTGTTATACTTCCGCTGGTTTCTTTTTTTTAGATTCTACACATAAGTGATACTGTAGAGTATTTGCCTTTCTCTGTCTGACTTATTTCACTAAGCATAAGACGCTCTAGGTGCATCTGAGTTGTTGCAAATGACAGAATTTCATTCCTTTTTATGGCTGAGTAATATTCCATTGTATGTATATATACATATATATGTCACACATCTTTTTTATCCAGTCATCTGTCGATGGACATTTTGGTTGCTCCCATATCTTGCCTATTATAATAATGCTGCTGTGAACACTGGAGTGCATGTGCTATATATTGAAATTATAATATTTTGAATATATTTGTTAAATAAAGTATATTACTAAAAATAATCTCACCAGTTTCTTTTTACTTTTTTTAGTGTGGCTAATAGAAGGCTTTAAGTTACTTATGAGACTCACATTTCTGGGTTATATTTATCAGGCAGCACTGGTCTGTAGTATCCGGTCCCTCCCTAAAACGTTTCCTCGTCTTGTCTCCTGCTCACTCCACTCCAGCCCTGCTGGCTTCCTGGCTATCCCACACTCCTAATTTATCCCTTCCCCCCCAACCCCCTTTCCCCTTTGGTAACCATACGTTTGCTTTCTTTGTGTAACCACCTGTTTTGAATGCCTGCTGTGTCCCACTCTCTGTGCTATGCCCGCTGCGTTCTTTATTTCATCTTCACACTAACCCAGTGAGATACGTAATGTTATTTTTTTCTTTTTATAGGTGAGAAACTGAAGTAGGTACTACTATTATCCTATTTTACAGATGAACAAAGACTTGACTAGTGTAAGTAACATTGCTGGAAGTTACGTAGTGAGTCCGTGATGAACACAGGTCCCAAATCCAGATCTTTTGACTGCAGACCTTGTGCCTTTAATTGAACAGCCACCTACACTGTGCTTTATAGAGTTGGAGACACTTTCCAGCAGAGCTGGGGTGAGGTGGAGTGATGATTTACAACCTGACGCGCAAGGGACAGCAAATAAGGAAAGCAGGGGCGAGGTCCGAAATCCACACATGCGGTGGCGTGGGGGAAATGTCAGCCGCCTCTTCCTGTTACCTACGCGGAGATGTTGGCCTATTGGTGATGTTTGCTAGCTCTTTCCTGGGACTGTCTTCCAGTTTTTTGCTCTATCTGAAAAAATATGAGAAATTGCTTTCATTCACTTAAAAAAATTTGTTCATCTTGTCACTGAAGGTACAGCATCCTGGGTTAGCCAGATGGCCTTCTGGGCCTAAGACTGATGCAGAGGGAGTTTGCACTGCTGCACACTTTTCATTAGAAAAGAGAAAGGGGAGTGGGTGGATGAAGGATGTCAGACAGATCATGTCTTCTCCTTTAAGAGGTTCCCATAACTGCAGATAAATTGGTCTGGAAATAGCTACAAGCAATTTCTCTATGTATAACTCATATTCAAAAAAAAAAAAAAAGAAGAAGAAGAAGAAGAAGAAATGTTCCCATATGTAAGGTTATCCCGCGGAACTTAAGAGGCCATGACGGGACCGGCAGTCACGCCCAGGTTTGTCAATGGCTCCGAGACTGTGCGCGTCCTGGGGAAGCGCCGACCTCCCGCCCTGCTCCCTGCAGCTCTCGGAGCCAGAGCACAGGGCCCCGCTGACAGGCAAGAGAAACTCCAGGCTCCCCTGCAGCTGTCTGGAATTTCCCTGAGAAAAAGAAGGGCTAAATATAGGCTTTCACCTTGAAATGCCATAAAGGTAATAAAACAGGGCCTGGTGGGTGTGACGGGTTGCTTTGCGGTGCCCCCACTTCACATTTTACGTGCGTTTCTAAGCAACAAGCTTATCGAAACTAGCGAAGTAGGGAAGTGAGCGATGAGTTCGGAGGGTTCAGCCATGGAGGTGCCCAGACCGCTCTGGACGTCAGAGACCTGCTTTCCCATCTCCCTGACCTCCCTCCCTCCCACCGTGCACCTCAGCACCCTCGGAACCTGCTGAAACCCCAGCACGCAGTAGCTGTTGGGCCAGTCCCCGCGCCCTTGGCTTCACCGATACCGGACTGTGCGTCACACCTTTCCGTGTTATCTAGGAACCACCAACGTTAGCAGGAAAATAGGTGCCATTCTCATTTCCTTTGGTATTTGTTAGAGCAGCTCGGTATTCGGGGAGGTCATTATTCAACTTTTGAGGCACAATCCTCCCCATTATGTGTAGCCTGTACGCCTTAACAGAGTTTCTGGTTCTAGTTTTGGATTTCACATTAGCCTTTAATTAAAATTAATTGAGTTAAAACTCATCCACTGAGTTTTCTAACTAATCATAACACACCATGCTTTTTACTTCTCACTCTTATTTTTCTGTACAATGAAACGTACGTTAAATAAAAGAAATAAAATTGTGTAACTCCTCCGGTCTGGGTTAACAATTACTATGGCACTTAGGTGCCTCTCCATATATTTGTTTGTACAAACATCATAAAAATGCACAACTGCACACAGATGGGCTACAGGAAACGAAGCCCTACACAGGAGGCCCGCAGTAATAAAGCCCGTGCTGAAAGTATGAAGACTTATACAACATGTGGACACATTATTACCACAAGTCATGGGAAATCAGTTCAGGGCCAGAAGGAAGTCAGTCTGTGGACAAATTCAGCCTTCACCTTGAAGCTCTCCCATCTGCCACAATCACAGAAACCTTTCAGGCACTGGGTGGTCAGCGCCTGCGGGACACTGAGATTCGGATGGTAGCCAATGCTGGCTCTGTAAGACCTCAGTCCCGATTTTCTGCTTGTACAACTGTCCAAGTTTTCAGTAATTGTCTTTCTAATGCTACTGTTATAAACTGTGCCTGTTGAAGAGATCATTCTATGGTGTTACTGCAGTGGACACTGTCAGAGAGGTTTTCAGAGGACTGAAACTCCATCCATGTATTTCCAGATGGCATCTGATGTGTTTGGTATTCTTTCCCTTTGCAGGACCCACGTGGCTGTCCTCAGGGAGAGGAAGCACCCTGTACCCACGTACCCACATGTGACAGGAATACTCAGGCTGGGGCTCTGTGCTTCTGAGGGAACGAATGGAACCAGAGAAGCCCAGCCCCTCACTCTGACGCTAGTTTAACTCTTATCTTCTCCCGCCAATTTGTCATCTTGTTAATTATCCCATTTAGTAACTCTGTTCCAACTGCTGGGCTTCCTTCTTCCTTCTTCCATGTCCTCTGTCTGTTTTGTCTCCTGTTCTTTGATCTAGTGCTTGTTTCAAACACCCTCTTGGTAACCGACCTCTTCTGCTCAACCCAGGACCACTCCCACTGGGGCCCTGCTGCTGGGGCTGCTGGCTCCACCCCTGCGAGTCTCACCTCAGAGTGTCAGGGAGACCTCAGCCAGCTCCTGAGTTTCTTTAAAGACTATATATTTTTTTAGAGTAATTTTAGGTTCACAGCAAAATTGAGAGGAAGGTACAGAGATTTTCCACATACCTTCTGTCCCCACATACGCACAGCCTCTCCCATCATCAACGTCTGCCACCAGAGAGGTACATTTGTTACAGTTAGTAAATCTGCATTGACAAGTCATAATCACTCAAAGTCCGTAGTCTATGTTAGGGGTTACCAAGAGTAACCCCTAACATTCTCTGAGTTCGGACAAACGTATAATGACAAGTATCACACAGTGTTTACACTGCCCTAAAAATCCTCTGTTGGTCCACTTCTTCATTGCCCCCATTTCACTAACCCTGCCAAGCACCTTATCCACAGATTTGCTAGTCCAGAATGTCACATGGTGGGAATCGTATAGTATGTACGATTTTTCAGATTGGCTTCTTTCACTTAGTCATATGCATTTAAATTTCCTCTGTTTAATAGCTTGCTTCTTTTCATTACTGAATAATATTCCATTCTTTGAATGTGCTTCAGTTTGTCTCTTCACCTACTGAAACAACATGTTGGGTGTTTCCAACTTTCAGCAGTTATGAGAAAAGCTGCCATAAACATCCATGTGCAGTTGCTTTGGGTAAATACCAAGAACATGATGGCTGGATCATGTGGTTAAGTGTAAGAAACTGCCAAACTGTGTTCCAAAGTGGCTGCACGTTTACATCCCTGCCAGCTATATATGAGAGTACCTGTTGCTCCATATCCTCCCCAGCATTTGTTGTCAGTGCTGTGGATTTTGACCATTTTGCTCAGTGGGTAGTGGAATCTCACTGTGGTTTTAATTTGCATTTCCCTGATGACACATGATGTGGAACATCTTTTCCTTTTCAATACAGGACTTTACTATATCTTTAAAATATAACAAAGAGGTCTTAGGAAACCACCCAGCATCTTGTTTCAGTAGCTGGACAACTTAGAACTGATTCAGCAGCCTGCTGAACCATTCCATTTTCAGAGACATAGATATCATCTAGAAATTTTCTGATATCATTGTTTTCAACTGCTGTGGCTTACTGAATCAAAACAGCTGAATTTCGTGTAGGTTCACTGTCATTTCTTTCAAGAATTAATTCTTTTTTCTGGGTTTGAGATACTAAGCAAGCTACTCCTGGCCTCACCCAAACCTTGTGGATGTATTTTTACCCAAGAAATTTTGGATTTCAACTAGAGACCCATTCTCCTGCCGAACGACACTGATGGGGGGAAAATACACAGATCCCATCTTGTGATGAGCCCAGTGTGACCTGATGATGCTCTGACCGTGACTGCAGGTAATGCAAACAGTGGCCACGTCCTTTCTGTTTTCCCACCACTTGTTAGCCTAGAGCCTCTTCCTTTCTTCCCAAGGAAACTGAGTTCTACGTTGACGTGATGAAGTCCTTCTGCAGGGTCCCTCTGGGGCCCTTCTTAATAGCTGTGTGTCCCTTCAGAGCGATATCAACGTTTTCTGGAATGGAGACAGTCGGATTGCAATAGATATAGCACAAACTCCATATGTTTATTTATGTCATCTGTTTATCTTCTTTGGTGAGGGTTCTGTTAGTCTTTGGCCCATTTTTAAACAGGGTTGTTCATTTCCTTATTGCTGGATTTTTGAGTCCCTTGTATATTTTGGATAACAGTCCTTTATCAGATGTGTCTTTTGTGAGATATGCTCCCAGTCTCTGGGTTGTCTTCTCATCCTCTTGACACTGTCTTTTGCAGAACTTATTTTTTAAAATTTTAGTGAAGTCCAGCTTATTAATTATTTCCTTCATGGATCATGCCTTTGGTTTTTACCTAAAAGTCACCATTTTACCCAGTCATCTAGATTTTCTCCGGTGTTATTGTCTAGGAGTTTTATGTTTTTGTATTTAGTCTTTGATACATTTTAAGTTAATTTGTGTGAAAGTTGTAAAGTCTGAGTCTAAGTTAATTCCTGGGTAGTTCAAGCACCTTATAATAACAAATGCATGTTTTCATCCACTATCAAATACTGATTAGTAAAATGATGTGTATTTATCAGAAAAAAAATATTCAGCTATTCCAGGTCCTGTGCCTTTCCATGTAAATGTAAGAATAGGCTTGTCTATGTATATGAAAAACCTCACTGAGATTTTGACAAAAACTGCAGTAACCCTGCAGATCAATTTAGGGAGGACTGATATCATTGCTATGTTGTCTTCCAATCCATGAGCACAATGTCTATCAGTTTAATTAGGTCTTTGATTTCTTCATCAACTATTTGCAGTCTTTAGCATACAGGTTCTGTATGTATTTTTTTAAATGTATATCTAGGTATTTCATTTTCTTTGGAATGATTGTAAATGATATTACATTTTAATTTTGGTTTCCAAATGTTTATTGTTAATATGTAGAAATGTGATTGCTCCTCCCTCTGCTTTCTTGTGTCATTACCATTATGTTTTACTTATAAATGTCCCTAAGCATATGTATGTATATATGTTTATATACATAAACATACATATACCAAAGATATATACATAAGCATACACAATCAAATACATTGTTGCTTTCATTATTTTCAACAACTATTTTTTGTTGTTGGATGAATTAAGGCCAAGAAAAATATGACAATATTGTAAACTGACTATATTTCAATAAAAAAAAAAAAGAGTAAGAAAAAAATAGAGGTTTTTATTTTCCCTTCACTATTGCTTCTTTGACGTGCTTCTTTTCTTTACATAGATTCGAGTTTCTGACCTGTATTACTTTTATCCTTTCTAAGGAACTTCTTTTAACCTTTCTTGCAAGGCAGGCATACTGCCACCACATTCCCTCAGTTGTAGTGTGCCTGAGAAAATCTGTATTTCCCCTTCAGTGCTGAAGGATAATTTTGCAGGGTACAGAATCCTAAGATGCTGAGTTTTCTCTTTCAAAGCTTTCAGGATTTCACTCTACTCTCTTCTTCACTGAGTGAGTTTTAAGAAGTTGACTGAAATTATCTTTGTTCCTCTAAAAGGCAGATGGCTTTTTCCCCTCTGGCTTCTTTCAGGGTGTTTTCTTCATCTTCGATTTTCTGTGGTTTGAAATGACATGCCTAGGCGTGGGGCTTCTGCTGCTGTCACTGTTGCTGTTTTATTCCTTTATCCTGCTTGGCGTTCTCTGGGTTTCCTGGATATGTGGGGTGGCATCTGACATTAATTTGGGGAACTCTTAGTCACTGTTGTTTCAAGTATCTCTTCTGTCTCTTTCTCGGTCTCCTCTCCTTCTGGTGTTCCCGTTGCGCATGTGTTCCACCTTCTGTGGTTCTCCCACAGTCCTCAGGTGTTCTCCTCTGTCTCTTTTCAGCCTCTGTCCTTTTCCACTCTTGGAAGTTCCTACTGATACATCCTCAGGGTCTTAGAGTCTTTCCTCAGCTGTATCCAGTCTGCTAACAAGCCCATCAAAAGCTTTCTCCTCTTCTGTTGTAGTGGTTTTGACCCCCAGCGTTCCTTTCTGGTTTTCTCTCAGACTTTCCATCTCTGTGTACCTCGCCCGTCTGCTCTTGCATGCTGTCTACTTTATCCATTAGATCCCTTGGCGTATTAATCATAGTTGTTTTAAATTCCTGGTCTGTCAATTCCAACACCCTTCCCGTGTCTGGTTCTGATGTTTGCTCTGTCTTTTCAAAATTTTTTCCTTTTGGCAAGCCTTGTCATTTTTTTCTTGATAACTGGGCATGATGTACCAGGTAAAAGAAACTCCTGTATCTAGGCCCTTGGTGGTGTGGCGGTGCGGTGTGGGAAGAAGTGGGCAGCTCTGTGGTCTATCTTTAGGACTCAGGCTCTTGGTAAGCCTATGCCTCTGGACTTTGAACTTCACAAATATTTTTGTCTCCCCTTAGGTGGGCAGGGTGGGATGGAGTTGGGCAATTCCCTTCCCCCAGGCCAGTTAGGCTCTGATAACACCTCAGCAGGTTAGGCTCTGGTTGACCAGTTTCCCCTGGGGCAGGCTAATTTATTGAGAAGAGCTGCTGTGCTCTGGCGGATTTCAAAATGGTTCCTTCTCTCCTTCCCCTGCTGGAAGCTTGAGGAGATTTTTCTTGGATATTTGCTGTGAGAACGCGATCAAGTTCTTGGAAGTAAATCTCACAGAAGTTTGGGGCCCTCCCTAAGGCTGGGTCCCCTGTAGTTTTTAACCCTCAGCCTTGTCCACACTGAGCTTTTCTTAATTACAGCTCAGGTGTTCCTGCCCGGGCCCAGGTTCCCATGGCAGCATCTGCTCCAGTCTCGGCTCAGGTGAGCGGACTCCTTGTCTGTGCCGGGCTCTCCCGCATTGTGGGCAGTGGTTTGACCTGTGTCCTCCCCTCTCTTGTAAACCCAAGAAGGGCTGCTTGTTTTTCAGTCCATTCTGCGTTTTACTCGTTGTTAGGACAGAGCAGCGATTTACAAGAGCCTTACATGTGGAACTGAAAACCGTGTTCCTGGGGGCCTTGCCTTGGCTGGAGGGGTTTATGAGTCTCCAGGCAAGCTGGGTCCCAGCTGAGACATCCCATGTGCTGTCAGTGGTCTGCCACCTGATCGGCCAGGCCCAGGAAGAACACTCACATGCAGGAGAGTCTTCCCTGCTCAGAAAATACGATGGGGTTCTGCCTGAGATGAGACCTCTGAGATACCAAGTGGTCCCTTGGTGTTTTTGGGGAATTGGTTCCAGGACCCCAAGCCGATGCCAAAATCCAGGAATATTCAAGTCCCTTATATAAAATAGCATAGTATTTGCATATAGCCAACACACATCCTCCTGTGTCCTTTAAATCGTCTCCAGATTACTTAGAATACCTAATACAATGAAAACGCTATGTAAATAGTTGCTAGAGGACAGCAAATTCAAGTTTTGCTTTTTGGAACTTTCTGGAATTTTTTAAAAAATATTTTTGATCCATGGTTGGTTGAATTTGTGGATGAGGATACAGAGAGCTGACAGTACAGTGTGGTCCAGACAATGAATTCCCACCTGGCCAGTCACCAATCCTGTGAGCCTTGGGAAAGAAACACACGTTCCCAGAAGTAGCAGCTGGCGCTCCCCAAGCTTTGCTGTTTGTATCCGCCTTTACTGCTTAGGTCCTCTTAGCCTCAGTCCTTTGAAGATTTCCCTTGTGGGCTCCTTGGCTGCGCCAATAATCTGCTGCTGGAACGTGGGCTCACGTGAGCCCCTGTTCAGATGCTTCCTGTGTTGTGGACACACTGACCAAGAGAAAGTGGGTCCAGTTTCACTGCCTATTCTTGTTCTATTTTTTTCCAGGAAAAAATGGTTATTGACTGTGGGAAAATATATGTAACATAAAAGGTACCTTTTTAACCATTGAAGTGTGTATAGTTCAGTGGCATTAAGTACATTCACATTGTTGTGCTATCATCACGACCATCCATCTCCAGAAATGCTTCGTCTTCCCAAACTGAAACTCCATACCCACTAAACGCTGACTCCTCACTCCTCCCACCCCCAGCCCCTGGCAACCACCATTCTACTTTCTGTCTCTACGGATTCACCCCTACAGGTAACTCACATGGGTGGAATCATTCCATGTATGTCGTTCTGTGACTGGCTTATTTCTCTTTGCATAATGGCCACAGGGTTCGTCCATGTTGTAGCCTGTGTCAGAATGTCCTTCCTTTTAAAGGCTGAACACCATCACTGCACAAACGTACCACATTTTGTTGATCCATTCTTCCCTCATGGGACATTTGGTTTGCTTCCACCTTTTAGCTACTGTGGATAAAGCTCTGTGAACATGGGTGTACAAATTTCTGTTTGAGTCCTTGCTTTTGGTGATTTTTGGTAAGTACCCAGAACTGGAATTGCCTGATTGTATGGTAATTTTACTTAAAAATTTTGGGGGGGAAATTGTTATGCTGTTTTCCTCAGTGGCTACTCCATTTTACATTCATTCCTCTCTGCAGTGCACCAGGATTCCAATTTCTTCACATTCAGCCAACACCTGTTATTTACCTTGCTTTCTTTCTTTCTTTCCTTCTTTTAAAAGAAGAGCATAATAGCATCCTAAGGGGTGTGAAGTGGCATCTCCCTGTGGCTTTGATTTGCATTTCCCTCATGATTAGTGACACTGTGCATCTTTCCCTGTGTTTATCGGCCATTTGTACGTCTTTGAGGAAATGTCTATGCAGGTCTTTGGTCCATTTTCTAACCAGGTTGTTGTTGTTTGAGGTGGGTCAGAAAGCTGATTTTTTTTTTAATGGTCTTAACCAAATGTTAGACGGTGGTTGACTAGATAAATCTTTAAAAATACTGTGAGAAATGATGGAGGTCAGCTCACGTCAGCCAGGTGCCTCTGGCCCAGGTCCTGCCAGTTCGTGGCCTCTGCCTCAGACAGGGAGGGGTGACTGCGGGGCGTTGTCCAGAAAACAGTGGTGGGAAGGGCATTTGCTCTTTAACACACAGTGGTTTCCAAAGTCTCATTTTCTTCTTTTTCATTACCAAAGCCAAAATCCATATGCCTGCCCTGTGCTCGCCATGGCAATGAAAGCAAATGACATATTGGACTTTATTGAAGGGAGGGCCTGCCCTGGTGAGGAGTCAGAGGAAACTTTCCAGCCACTGACGGTGAAGTGTTAGGGACCTTTGTCCCGTTGTACAGCGTTCCGCAGAGGCGTATTCCTTTGCAAAGCGTCTGTTGATTCACTGACTGTTTACAGGAGGAGAAAATAGCACATTGATATGAAGGCGTGTTAACTAGATAACTCAAGGAGACAGCATCTGACCTCCATCCACGCTGACGTCTCTGTGTTGCCAGGAAAGGCGCTTCACGTGGGCTGAAGGTCCCAGGCCTGATCTCTGCCCCCGCCACTGTCGCGTCTTGTGATCTACGCCACTGACTTCCGTTTCTTCCTTTATAAGATGGGCTGAATAACACCACCTTAGAGGGACTTTTGAAAGATGTGAAAAAAATTTTTTTAGTGGAAGTGCTTTTCAGCTGTAATATGCTGTGCATCGCTACCCTTTGAACTGTCCTTTTCCAAGTCCCCCTAGTCCTGGGGACAGGCATTGGAGTAGGTGACGCTTGCCCTGGACGGCAGTCTTGAGGGTTATAACTGAGCACCAAGCCCCTTGGACTTTGCCCTCTGAAGGTCAATCAAGCTTTTCCTGCTGTAATCATTATTGTCCTTGACATTTTCCACTTGGCAGCTTGCGTGCCTCCTCCTGGCTTGCCGGGCAGCCGCAGCCCTCCCTCTCAAACACACCCCTGGCAAAGGCACTGCTGTGCTCAGCCAGGGTGGCCCCGGTCGCGAGCTGCACTAGGACAAGCTCTGAACATGCCCCCGAAGCTGCTGCCCACACCCACTCAGGCTTCAGAGGTCTCCCCTCACCCGCCAGCACAGTTCTCCAGGCCAAAGTCTCTGACACTCAAGCAAAGTACAGGCTTTTGAAGGACAGAAAACATCCTCACAGATCCTGGGAATCCATTTGAGGATCTCCAGGAATCTTTGGATCCAGCGTAGGGAGTGGTGTTCTTCGATAACCAGTGACGGAAA